TCGCCAGGTTCATAGCGCAGCGCGCTAACCGCTACACTATCGCTCCCCACGCACACACACACGCACACACACGCACACACGCACGCACACACCCACACACACACCAATGCACACACACACAAAGACATAGATCAAGCCGCGTAGCCTCGAGCAAGATGTCCGGGGCAAGTGCCGTTAGCGGGCAACGACAAGAGGTGGGGCGTGGCTAGTACCACGCCCGCCCGTCCGCCTTTGTCTCCCCAATGATTATGTTAATGACACACTCATTTAAAACAGAGTGGATCTAGGGGGAAAACCAGGAGCGGTTCAAATATTCGCCACTATTATTGATGGTGAGCGGAAAATCGAACTCGGGTCGCCGGGTTCATAGCGCAGTACACTGACGTCTACATAAACCAATCCCCACATGCTCGCGCACCTGAATACGCCCACACACCTGTGCACACACGCACACACCTGTGCACACGCCTGTATACACCCTCGTACACACATGCACGTACCACCGTGACCGCAGTCAGACTCTGGTAATTTGTGTCGATTGCCGGGCAGCATTCGTCACCATAGTTGGTTCCGAGCCACCGGTTGGAAATTCCGCATTCCCCTGGCAGGGCCACTTCTCTCCGTGCCGTACACAAATCACTCTCTCAGCCATGTGTGAGGTCTCACCTAGGCCTGGGCGGAATGCTGAGTGGTGCTTTGCTTGTGTCCCCGTGTGCCCGTGTACCTGTGTCCCCCATTCCTCGTGTCCTTGTGTCTCCATGTCCACCTGTGCCCTTGTCCCCGTGCGTCCATGCGCCTGTCCCCCCGTGTCTCCGTATCTCTGTGTCCCCCATGTACCCATGTACCCGTGTCCCCCATGTCCCCCATGTCCCCCGTGTCCCCCATGTCCCCCGTGTCCCCCATGTAGCCGTGTCCCCCATGTACCCATGTACCCGTGTCGCCCATGTCCCCCGTGTCCCCGTGTCTCCGTGTCTCTGTGTCCCCCGTGTACCCGTGTCCCCCGTGTCCCCCATGTCCCCGTGTCCCCCGTGTCCCCCATGTCCCCCGTGTCCCCCATGTCCCCGTGTCCCCCGTGTCCCCCATGTCCCCCGTGTCCCCCATGTACCCGTGCCCCCCGTGTCCCCCGTGTCCCCGTGTCCCCCATGTACCCGTGTCCCCCATGTACCCATGTACCCGTGTCCCCCATGTACCCGTGTCCCCCATGTCCCCTGTGTCCCCCATGTACCCATGTACCCGTGTCCCCCATGTACCCGTGTCCCCCATGTACCCGTGTCCCCCATGTACCCGTGTCCCCCATGTACCCGTGTCCCCCATGTCCCCTGTGTCCCCGCGTCACCTGTGTCCCCCATGTACCCATGTCTGTGTCCCCCATGTACGCGTGTCCCCCGTGTACCCATGTACCCGTGTCCCCCATGTACCCGTGTCCCCCATGTACCCATGTACCCGTGTCCCCCATGTACCCGTGTCCCCCATGTACCCGTGTCCCCCATGTACCCATGTACCCGTGTCTCCCATGTACCCATGTACCCGTGTCCCCCATGTCCCCCATGTCCCCCGTGTCCCCCATGTACCCATGTACCCGTGTCCCCCATGTACCCGTGTCCCCCATGTACCCGTGTCCCCCATGTACCCGTGTCCCCCATGTACCCGTGTCCCCCATGTACCCATGTACCCGTGTCCCCCATGTACCCATGTACCCATGTACCCGTGTCCCCCATGTCCCCCATGTCCCCCGTGTCCCCCATGTACCCATGTACCCGTGTCCCCCATGTACCCGTGTCCCCCGTGTCCCCCATGTCCCCCGTGTCCCCCATGTACCCGTGTCCCCGTGTCCCCCATGTACCCGTGTCCCCCATGTACCCGTGTCCCCCATGTACCCATGTACCCGTGTCCCCCGTGTCCCCCGCGTCCCCGCGTCCCCCGTGTCCCCCATGTGCCTGCCGTCTGCTTGCTTGCAGGTGTCCCGCTGGCCCATCTCTCGCGCCTGGGCCACCTCGGCCGCTTGGACGTGGAGGCCATCGTCGCCCCCCTGGCGCCGCTGCTCCCTCCCGCGCCGCCCGAGCTGCCCCCCCTCACGCCGCCACCGCTCGTGCTGGCGCCCCCCCATTCGGGACCCCCGCCTCTCCCGCCCGCAAGCAGTGGCTCACCCCAGGCGATCGCCGTCCTCGGGTCGGTCCCCCCCATCCTCCCGGGCGGCCCGCCGCTTGCCACCGAGGGCCAGCCCCCGCCGCTTGCCACCGAGGGCCAGCCCCCGCCGCGGGACCCAAGTCCTGCTTCGGACGCTCCGTCCGGAACAACGCCGCCCCCCCAGGATGCCCAAACAGCAGCAGCAGCAGCAGCGGAGGAAGGGGAAGGGCCCCCCACGATTTCACGGAGCCAGGCGGAGGAGGATTGAGAGAGAAACGAGGTTGAGGCAGCTTGTAGTGACGTCGTGCTGCTGCCCCCCTGAGTGAGACTGGTGGTGACCCGGGGGCGGCGGGGGGGGGGGGTGTTGGAGGGGGCTGATGACCTCTGCTCGGTTCGCAAAGGTCACAACGGGCGGAGAGCGGCGTTTATGAAGCAGACACTGCTCATCATCTGGGACCACGGCGCTCACTCCGGTGGCGACGTTTTGATCCCGAAGAGAGGGTGGAGGGTGGTTGGTTGCGTGGGTGGGGGTGTTAAGGATTTGGGAGATGGTGGTGCAGCAGAAGGAGACCATTTTATATGTTGGTGTTCGTCTGGGGTCAGACTCGCACAGTAATTGTCAACGGGTTCGTGCGAGCGATGTCCGAGCTTGGAGGGGGTGGTGCCGTATCGAGTCGACCATTTCCCCATGGGAACTCTTAATTGTTGGCCAGGGGGCACAGCTTATGGCTCATCTCCTATGTCTGAAAGTTGTTTGTGGGGGGCGACATACAGCTGTTCCCTCTGCCCCCCCCCCTCCCCGTGCTGTTGTTGAGTTGCGTGCTCGCTGCTGTTGTGCATTCCCGCACTGACATTTGATTGGAAGCTCTGGGGCGTGCGTGTCGCGGATCGGGAGATAACACCGTGTTTGCGGGTTGTGTAACGCGTTTTGCAACAGTGGGTGGGTGTTGGGTGTGTGGGCGCGTGTGTTTGCGAGCGCGCGGGGAGCGGTGGCGCAGCGGTTAGCGCCGCCGCTCGGCGGTTTAGCGCCGCGACCCACGTTGGACTCCCGCTCACGACTTAACGTCCGTGACGAACGATCTGAACCGGTCCCCAGGGGCTCACCCGAGTCGACTCGGCCATAGATGAGTATGTGCCTGGTGCGGTACTTGTTAGACATCAGCACTGGGGAGGCAAAGGGGGGGCGAGGTGGCTGGCCACCCACCTCTGGTGCGTGCCTTCTAGGTGCTCACCAATGGCACTTGCCCCCAGCACCCTGTTGAAGGCTATACGGGGGAGCTTTGTCTTTGTGCGTGCTGGGTGTCCCCACCTGACCGGTCGCTCGTTGCGGCAGGGACCCGGGGACTTCGTGGAGGACTCGACGCGGTGGTCCACTTAGTCCAGGGGTGACAGCAGAAGGTGGTGACTGCATAGACCGGCCAAGCCTTGCAATAAAAACAACATTACACAGTGCACTCTTGAGTCCACTTTCTGGATGAAGGCCTCCCCATGCATGCCGTGTTGGTTGAGGTCATGTTCTCGCTCCGCGTGACCACGTTGGTCGGTGCTGGTTGGTGAGAGGGGGTGGGTGGACCCAGGATCGGTTCAGGCATCGCACGCAACCCGTGTTCGCCGTGACTGGGAATCGAACCCCGCTCGCTGGGTTCGGAGTGTGGTGCGCTAACCACTGTGCCACCGCTCCTCTCCCCCCGAGTTAGCAGTTTCTGGACACGGCCATTCAAAGTGAATGATGCAATCGCTCAATATGGCCATTGAAAATTACTTTAATAATAAATGTATTTCAATGACCGTATTGGGTAAATCTTTTCAATTCAAATGTTCGCCCCCTCGGAGTGGGTGGGACTGACAAGTTGGACTCCTGGTCCTGGCTCCGTGCGGTTATTTACGTCGCCACGCTCTAGGGGTGGGGGGGGTGGAGACAATCTCGGAAGAAATAATTCTGCGGCGGATCAGCAATTCGCTCCGTGCTTTTCGAGATGCACTTCCCCCTCCCGAACCAAAAAATAAAATGTACAGCGCTTGAGTTTTAAACAAATATATAAATAACGGAGCCCGGCCTGGATTCCTGCTCCCCATGGTCATCACGGCCGCCGCTAAACGGCGGCACATTTTTGTCGACAGATTTCACGATTAATGCGGAAAATTGCCATAGTACGTGCGTCGCTCCAAACAACACGAGCGGTGCGTTCCAGACGACTCCCAGATCCGCTGTGCTCCGCTCCGGGATTCCGCTCTGCTCCCGGCCGGTGGAGTGATCGGCTCGCCATCGGAAGGATCCGAGTTCAGGCCCTTGTTGGGTTTGGGGGGTTAACTCGGCCCATCGTCACCATCCCTCCCCTCCGTGGGGCCAGCAAACAAGGACCAACTTTGTGGTGAAGTCAACATTGGTTGTCCCATGGTTAGATTCGCACCCCCGCCATGTGAACGTGGAATTCCCACCACAATGCTCGATTGAGCAGGGAATCGCTGAATTTCTGTTTATATTTCACACCTTGTCAGCATCTGCCCCCCCCCGCCCATACACAACATTAAGACTTTCATTCCAGACATTCAGTTCCAGCAGCCCTGCTCCCAGATTCTGGGACAGCAATCTCGCACCTTGCCGACAGCTGCCCCCACGTCTCCCACCGCCGCCCCACCCGCCCACCCTCCCACAGCCGCAGGGCTCTTGACAGCTCGCTTTGTGTGGCGTACATCGCTGGCGTGCCGGCCCGGCGTGCTGGGCCGGCAGCCACGGAACTGCGTGGCGCGCGATCGCTTGGCGTCGCGTCTGGCGAGCGAGCCCTGCATCGCTGCTGCCCCCTGCCTCTCCCTCACCCCACCTCCTCCCCCCCCCCGCCCTCCTCTCCCTACTCCCCCCACCATCCACGAGCCGCCGACGGCCGCCCTCTAACCCTGGCTCGCACCGCCGATAAACGGCTCCAGAGGCGGCCCGGTCCGAGCAAGCGCTGCTGCCGTGCTGCTGTCACTGCGCGGGCCGCCGTGGTTCTTTGGGGCCCCGAGTTCCGATTTTTTGTTTTCATCGCGCTGACGATTTGCGACAATGCCCGACGCCGCTGTGATGGATAAACTGCCATTGGCCGCCATAGGAATGTGGAATTTTCACCGCCGAGGACAGCGCCAGGGTGTGTGTGTGTGGGAGGAAGCATGGTTATATTTTTAAAGTCTTAAAAAGTCCCAAGTGGCTTTGAACTCGGTTCGTGTTTCTTTGGGGCTCAGCCAGAGGTGGGAATTCCACATTCCTAGGGCGGGGGGGGGGGCGAGTACATCTATATGGCAGGCGCTGTGTTTTTTAAATAGTAAGTATAAATAGGTGAGTAGCTCGATCCGGTTAAACTAAAACGGCAACCGGTGACGAGAATCACGAACTTGCCATCCACGCTCACGGACCCCACCCTTCCCGGGCACTCCCCGCTCTCCCTGCTCTCTCTCTCTCCCCACCCTCTCTCCTCTCCATTATAAAACACTTGTTCCTATCCGCTCTGCTGCCCGCTCCACTCTTTGTTTGTCTTCATCTCTGAGCTCCATTCCGCCTTCTTTCCAGAGCCCCCCTCTCCCTTTCTCCCAGCTCTCCGATTTCCACTTCCCGATTCCCTCTCTCCTTCTCTCCTCTCCACCTCTCCTTTCCACGCCTCTCCGCCCTTGACACTCTCCCCCTTCCTCTCTATCCTCTGCCTTATTTCTCTTCTCTCCCCTCTTATTTCCATTCCCCCATCTCGCTCCACTATCACATCTCTAACTCTCTCGCTGCCTCTCATCTTCCCTTCTCCACTCTCCTGTCATCTTCTTTTTCCATCTCCTCTCAATGAATCCCCACTCTCTCCCCTCCCCGTGATCACCTCTCCCCCCCCCACTCTCCCCTCGCTCCACTCTCTTCCTCTCCCCAGGCTCCTCCTCTCAACCCCGTCTCACCACAATGCCCGCGTGCCCCCCTTGCCCCCCCCCTTTGTCCCCCCTCCCTCACCATCAACTCCCTTCTCTTCTCCCCCTCGTCTGCTCCTCTTCTCCCCCACACCAGCTCGGCTCCTGCTCTTCGCATCCATCGCCCGTCACCAGGTGAGTGTCCTCATCAAGTTGAATTACACGCAGGGCGTTGTGCAGATACGTTAACCGAGGTTGTTGGTGCAATTCCGAGAATGATAGGCCCGCAGCTTTTCAATTACGTGCACGTTAATAATAACATTGTTTTATAATGATGATGATCGTCATCATCATCATCGGCGGCTGTAGTCAATCCACTGCGGGATGAAGACCTCGCCGTGCCGACGCAGGGCGTCGTTTAAGCCTCTGCAAGGCTGCAACCGGCAAGAATTGCGATCGAATTTGCCGTGCAGCCTTTGCGTGAACACGGCGCGTGTTCACGTCCGTCCGCAGCGTGTGCACGGCGCGTGCGCGCGTGAACACGGCGCGTGCGCGCGTGGACGCGCTGCGGACGGACGAAGCCGAGTGCCGTGCACGCCGCGTGGTGTTCTCGAAAGGGCTTGGGAGGAGCTGGAATGTGGCACGGAGTCGCCGACTCTGGCCGTAACGAGAAACAATCTGCACCGTGTGGAATTCGGGCCTCAGACCTGGCTTACGTGGGTGGGGGGGGGTGACATGCAGACTCGGCTGAACGTTCCGCGTACCTAAGTAACAAGTCCCACGAACTCAAACACACATGGCTCCGGACCACACGTGGTGTGGTCCGTGTTGTAACATCGGCGCCACGGCGGCGAGATGTTAACTACCTCGCCTGGTATGCAGGAGGTCGTGGGTTCGATCCCGACCCTGACGCCTGCTGCTGCTGCTGTATATTTGGAGTTTGCGTCTCTCTTTCTCTCCCCGTTGTCGCGTGGATTTTTCTCCGGGTCCTTCGGTTTTTTTTTCCCCTCCACATTTAAAAACGTGCGTCTAGAGTACTTGGCCGCTATAAACATCCACGTGATAAGCCACTTCGTTGAGCTATCATATGTGGCCAAGTTGCTTCTGAGTTATATAGCTCAGTGGACCTTACCTAATAAAATAAAACTAGTTTAGTATTTTTTAATAGGAATGCGGTAAACCACGCAACGATCCTCGTCATCGGTGGACTAAGTCATTCGCCTTCCCCGTGTAGTGTGACGCTGAAACCTGTACAAAGTGGGCCTACGCATGAGCACAACGTTGAAGTGCCTGCCCAATAGACTATCGAGCCTGTGCAGATCTGCGTTCATGGTTTTGGCCGGTGGTGGGAATTCCACATTCCTATGACCAGGCCCTGTCACGGCAGAGGAACAACTACCGTTGACTTGCCGGAAGTTGATGCACCGACAGAGACACCCAGATACTTATCACTGAACCAGCCACCTGCATAATCATCAGCCATGATCAGTCCACTGCTGGATGAAGGTTCTGCAAGCCGTTTCAGTCGTGGGGGCTGTTTGACCATACTTCACCACGCTAGCCAATGCAGGTGGGGTTGGTGTAGTGGGTGGCGGGTGCAGGCATGGTTCAGGTATATCGCCACTGATGTTATCTGGGTTCGTAGCGCAGTGCACTAACCACTGCGCCACCGCTCACCACAATCTAACGTTGCACCACCGTTGAAGGGAAACCCATCATACGCTTTTACGAACACAATATGACGATTATCGCGACATCACTGTCCCATAACTGTAAATTGTAATGAACAATTGTTATTGTATCGGTATTTGTGATTTGCTGTACTTTCATGATGAATAGAAATGCAGTTTAAAAGTTATTTAACTGCAGTTCGCTGAAATATGATCCTATTTAACCCGGTGTAACTTTGTAACGCGTTTTAATATATTGACGCACGTGCGGTCAGTCACACACGCACGAGATTATGAAATAATTAGGGGTCGTCCCACGATCATGATGAGATCAGCTAAAACGAAACTTTTTTTTAAGCAGGTAAGGTCCACTGAGTTATATATCTATGTTTCAGAAGCGACCTGGCCGCAAATGATAGCTGAACGAAGCGGCTTATCATCACGTGCACATTTATAGCAGTAGTCAAATGCTCTAAACACGTGACGTTGATTCCAAATGTGGAGGGGAAAAACCGGAGCACCCAGAGACAAATTTACGCGACCACGGTGAGAGCGACACGCAAACTCCGAATATACAACAGGCGTTAGGGTAGGTCTCGAACCCACGACCCTCCTGTAAACCTGGCGAGGTAGTTAACAGCTTGCCACTGAGACGTCCCAGCTGATGGTGGCAGCCTTGCTCTGCGTGCCGCCTGCTCAGGACGATACGTTGCTGAGCCGTTCGGCGTCGGTGGTGGTGGTGGCTACGGTGCACGTGGTCTGTAGTTCAGCGCTGTGGAAGCAGCAGCGAGGGTTGGTAGATCACGCACAGATATTGCGAAATTTATTTCGCGTGGGTTGGCCGCCAGGGGAAAAACCATGCAGCAAAAACTGTGGGCTCCCATCTATTTCCACCTGTATGGGATAGAGTGTTGCCCCCTCGCACGCATGCGTGGGCTTTCTGCGGGTTCTCCGGTTTCCTCTCACGTGTATAAATAACTCATTAACATCTTAATGTATAGAGGACGGCAGAACATGGACAATTGTTGGTGGCGCTGGCTCCTTGCCGCGGGGCTGCTGCTGCCTTCCCGCTTGTCCGTGGCTCTTCGTCCTGGCGCCTCCGAGTCGTCCCCTCTCTCTCTCTCTGAGTCGTCCCCTTCCTCTCTCTGAGTCGTCCTCTCTCTCTCTCTCTGAGTCGTCCCCTCCCTCTCCCTGAGTCGTCCCCTCCCTCTCTCTCTGAGTCGTCCTCTCTCTCTGAGTCGTCCCCTCCATCTCTCTCTGAGTCGTCCCCTCTCTCTCTCTGAGTCGTCCCCTCCCTCTCTCTCTGAGTCGTCCCCTCCCTCTCTCTCTCTGAGTCGTCCTCTCTCTCTCTCCGAGTCGTCCCCTCTCTCTCTCTGAGTCGTCCCCTCCCTCTCTCTCTGAGTCGTCCCCTCCCTCTCTCTCTCTCTGAGTCGTCCTCTCTCTCTCTCCGAGTCGTCCCCTCTCTCTCTGAGTCGTCCCCTCTCTCTCTCTCTGAGTCGTCCCCTCCCTATCTCTCTCTGAGTCGTCCCCTCCCTATCTCTCTCTGAGTCGTCCCCTCCCTCTCTCTCTGAGTCGTCCCCTCTCTCAGTCGTCCCCTCCCTCTCTCTGAGTCGTCCCCTCCCTATCTCTCTCCGAGTCGTCCTCTCTCTCCGAGTCGTCCCCTCTCTCTCTGAGTCGTCCCCTCCCTCTCTCTCTGAGTTGTCCCCTCTCTCTCTCCGAGTCGTCCCCTCGTGTTCCGTGCTTCGCCCCACAGTGGCTATGTTTATATTATTGAACTATTTTGCGTGGCCTGAGAACTCTTTTCTAGAATTCATCCTTCTGGTTTTTACTTCCGGCATCCTATGATGACTTCACGGCTGTACAGAATGTCCTAATCCTCACCAATCCCTTCTCTTTATATTCCTTCGCGAGTTGTTTTAACAGCCGCGTGTCTTTGTAGGTGTTTTTTTTATCGTGACTTGTGTCAAGTGGCCATAAGCCTTGTGGTATTAAAGTCCCCTCTGTCAGTAACATTGTAATTATCTAAATATCGCAGACTCCAATTACCTCCAAAACAATTGACACAGCAAGTGATTTAATCAGTACAGAGCTATTTAATGTAGAACTCTTATGAACTTTAACATTGTGATCTCAACAACAACAAACAACAATAATAACATATTTCCAGGAAATAAAACTTGTTTTTTTTTTTCCATTATAGAATTAGCGCTCGTTAATAATCATACAAATATACTTTTAGCCAAACAATGCAATGCGACGAACGATCCACGATTTTCGCACGATGTGTATCGTGGGCCTCTCCGTGTCGCGGCAATTTGCAGCGTCCACGATCGCGCGGACGCTCGCGGACTCGCGAGCATCCGCTGAGCGCGGGGTGCTTCGGTGGGGAGCGGTGGCGCAGCGGTTAGCGCACTGCGCTACCAACCCGGCCAGCCGAGTTCGATTCCCGCTCACCACCGATGCCAGACGTATGTATGTTGACCTTCTTTCGCACCGTACGTAGCCAACGGCGCTAATCGCAGGATGGGTGAGTGTGTGGGTGAGTGACTATGTGTTTGTAGGTGAGTGACCATCTAAGTCTATATTTGCGTGTACGTTGAACTTTTTTCGCACCGTACGTAGCCAACCGTGCTAATTGTAGGATTGGTGAGTGTATGGGTGAGTGACTATGTGAGGAGGTGAGTGACCATGTGAGTCTATATATGTACGTTGAACTTTTTTCGCACCGTTTAACATCATCAGCATTGGGAGAGACAAAGACGGCCGGGCGTGGAGGTGGACACACCAGCACCCGTCGTGTGCTGTTCCGGCCTTCATAGGTGCAACTCGCGAACCGAAACGTGCCCCAACAGTCTGTTAAAGGCGACACGGGGCGACCGTGCTTTGTAATTAGAGTGTAAATATTTTAATGTTCGCGATTCCGAGTTCAATACGTGCAAACAAATGTGTCTATTTGTTTGTGTTTCTCTCTTGCGATGGGACTTTGTAGGATGAACGTTGAGATTTCTAAGGGCACGGGGTGACCATCAAGGTCTGCGTTGGTCTGTAATAAGGCAGGGCACTGATAAGGGGTTGACAGGAATGGGTTCGCAATTAAGCTTCAAGAAGCGATTTTTTTCGTAATTTACTTTTCTGACGAATGTAACGGCCTCTAGTGGCTTCAGCAAGGGGAGGGGGGGGGGCGCGTGAACTCGCGATCCGCAAACACCGAAACTCTCCTCCACATACGCCAATTATAACCAATGCGGCCTTAAAATAAAATATTTAAGATCGGCAACGTTTCGGGCAGAGTCCCCTCCTCCTCTTCTTCTTCACTTAAATTATTGATATGCCATGAAGAAGGGCCGTTCCCCCGAAACGTCGCCTATTGTATACGTTTCCTTTCAAGGCCACGACACACACACGCGCTGTTCAGGGCGACCGTGCTCCGTGTTTTGCTGTTTGCCGCTCTCCTAGGGCCCCAACGCCGCAGCGGCAGAGTCACCGCAGACCTCACACCTTGAACGGTGAACGGCGAAATGTTGCACTCGCGATTCGGTGGGTGTGTCGAGATCTCGGCTCGGCAGATGCCCTTATCGATTCATCAATGTAACGTGTCTCTCAACGACGCCGACACACGTGTCATAGGTAACGAGCAATAGCGATTTTCTTGCTGTGGTTTTCACACCTGATGATGATTGCTTGTGTTGCAGTCGAAACGTCGTGAGAATTTTATTGGTTTATATTTTTATTATTTTATTGTTTCCCTCCTACGTGACTTTACCGAAAGAACCAAGAATATAATAACAATTGGTTCATGTATTCCAGTAACAAAACTATTCATGCAAAGCACCCGCGGACATATTTGTGATATAAAAAAAACTGATAACATGCGCGCCACAGCGTGGAAGTCAACGGCGGTTATCCTATGGGTAGCCTCGGCCCCGCCATAGGAACACCGAATGTCCACCACTGACTCCATGACACTGTGATTCATCCGCACTCGTAACGCGTCGCTGTAGCCGCACATTAGTCGCTCGCTCTCGAGGAGAGAGAACAACTTCATTTGCCACAAAGCTCTGCGGTCCTCCGTATATTAAGATGTTTTCGTCCAATTGACGAGTGTTAATGCTGCACGTGGGAGCAAACCGGAATGCTCCGGAGATAACCCTCGCGTCTCAGGTGGGGGTTGGTAACCCCTACTTCATCAGACCGGTCAGCGAGGATTATTTTTCTCTACAAGTCAGGGTGAATTACGCTGAACGAAACTAAACAATGTTTTATTTTGCCAAGCAAGGCCTACTGAGCTATGAAGCTCTTTTTCAGAAGCGACCTGGCCACAAATGATAGCTCAACGAAGTGGCTTATCATCGCGTGTAAATGCATAGCAGTCGTCAAATACTCTAAACGCGTGACCTTGCTTCTAAATGTGGAGGGGAAAAACCGGAGGACCCCGAGAAAAATCCACGCGACCACCGGGAGAGAGACACGCAAACTGGATCGAGCCCACGACCTCATGTAGACCAGGCGAGGTGGTTAACATCTCGCCACCGTAGCACCCCACGCACACTGAGCGGAACCTCAATGATAATCCCTGATTAAAGCTCAAGGAATTGAATTGAATTTGCTGTCTTTGCAATCGAGCGTCATTTTAATGTTACACTTGTATTGCCTATAATATAATAATTTTCATTCCAATTAAAATATTATCATGACCACTGTCGTTATGATATTTGAATGACTGTACACTGCATGGGGCGTTCCGCAGTGTGCTGTGTTCGGGCTTCGTACTGCTTGCTGTTTGGCACGATGTCCGACGTTTCGCACCAGGTGCTGGGAGCTCCTTCCTGGAAGTGCAGACGTTCCCAGCACGTGGGTGTCGGAAGTTTCGCGCCACGTGCTGGAAGTTTGTCCACTTCCAGAAGAAGTTCCCAGAACGTGACGCGAAACGTCGGACATCGTGCCGAACGACACCACGCATCAGACGGCTGTACCTTAATTATCTCCCGAGTTACATCAACTAAATCCAAATTACAGTCTCATGATAGCCACGAGTCTAAGATGAATACCCGTACAATACTACTCATAGTATAACCACTGTACTAATAGTATAACCACAGTAATTATTACAATAATTTCCTAATGAGCACCACGTTAAAAAAACATCACGAAAACCATCACTGCTAGATTGACCCCTCCCCAAGGCCTCGACAGTCTTGTGATGTGAGTAACGATCTCACGATTTACAACTGAATACGGCGTGCTTTTGAATCGCTCCATCTCCGCTTTGAGTGTCCTCTGTGGCGCGCGTCATCCCCCACCCACCCACCCTGGGGCTGCCACTAGAAACCTCCAATTATCACGGTTGGCTACGTACGGTGCGAAAGAAGTCCAACGTACACACACTCCGTAACCAGCCTCGACCCCACGGCCACCGTCTCTCGTCTCGCCGCCTCTCCTGCTGCTCACCCCAAACCCCGTGACTCTTTGATTAGCAGGGTAATGTCTCTAACCTGCGAGACACTCTCGAACCCACGTGTTCCTCTCCCTGACTCGCAGTGAAAACCATGCTGACGTTAACTCACAAACTATAAACTAAACCAAAACTATTTTTGTTTCATTTCCCACGTGAGTCCCGCTTGAGCTATATAGCTCTTTATCACAAACGGCCTGGCCGCAAATGATAGCTTAACGAAGTAACCTTATCATCACGCGGAAAGCATGGTGAGTCTTAATGTGGAGGAACATGCAAACTCCAAATATACAACAGGCGTCAGGGTCGGGGTGGAACCCACGACCTCCTGTATACCAGGCAAGGTAGTTAACATCTCCACCACGATCCATGTGTAGATACCCCACGGCTGAGTGGATGTTTGCGAGAAGCGATGGTGCCGATATCTTTACATGGGAGACTGCTTACGAAAACATGTATTTGCCTTGACGTTTGTGGGGGACGCGCGGAGGCTTTTAATTAATTTAACATCTCGCCGTGGTGGCTATGAGATGTTAACTACCTCTCCTGGTATACAGGAGGTCGTGGGTTCGATCTTGACCCTGACGCCTGCTGCTGTATATTTGTAGTTTGCATGTCTATTTGCTCGTGTTCGCGTGGATATTTTAATCCGGGTCGTCCGGTTTTTCCCTCCACATTCAGAATCAACATCACGCGTTTAGGGTCTCTGGCTGCGATACATTTCCGACCTGATTACCATTTCTGGTAATCAGGTCGCTTCTGGAAAATACCGATATAGCGCAGTGAGTCTTCCCTGAATCTATCGGTAGAATTGGCCACACCATTCCAAATATAACAGCATCCTTGTGTTAGCTTGAGACGTAGTCTTGAGACTCCGTGCGGTTAGTCCGTGACATTTCATGTTGATGAAATTTCACAGCGTGCTCGAATTGTACAAACTCTGCTCAAGACCAAGATCCCCCGTATAGACTTAACATACATTTGGGGCAAGTGCTGTTAGCGAGCACCTATGAAAGCCGGTATGGCGCACGAGTGGGTGGGTGGCCAGCACCACGCCCGTCCGCCTTTGTCTCCCGAGTGGCGATGTTTACACGCCGTACTCATTTGAGGCTGAGTCGACCTCGGGGAGGCCCAAGACTGGTTCAGAAAATCGTCACTGGTGTTGGCCGTGAGCGGGAATCGAACTTGGATTACCGGGTTCGTAGCGCAGCGCGCTAACTGCTACACTACCGCTCCACACACCAACTCTCCTCAGACACACACTGGCACACACACACCGTGTGGGTGTTCGGTGAAGCCTCGTAGCCTGGGACATGTGGGAAACACGGCAGCGTTTGGTTGTGGGCTACACCCTGCTGATGAATCTCAGAGAAGTTGAGACTCGGTGAGACTTTCGCCGCATAAACAACTTAACCCATCAAAATTAGAGCGTGTCCCTTATCAATAGCAGGTGAGTGCCACTTTGTGTGGAAGACCAACAGTGGTTGTCCCATGGATAGACTGCGCCCCCCCCCCCCGCCGCCTCCACCACCATAGGAACGTGGAATTTCCACCACTGGCTCCTGCGGGGCTGGACACAGTAGCTGATGACCAACGCCATGGATGTCTCTGTGAGCGGGATCTCACCCCACTCGCCGGCCTGCGTGGGTCTTCATCAAAACCGGGTGAGCGCTCGCATCCCCCAAATTGGAACGCCCCACATGTCTCGGCTGCCGACGAGAGGTCACGGGGTACGGTCTCTGTGTTTTAATCCAGCCAGACTCCAATCCCATAGAGAGCTGAACTCAAAAAACAAAGATTCACCGTGTAGCCTTAACAGACTGTTGGGGCAGGTGCTGTTTAGCGAGCGCCTATGAAGGCCGGCACGGCACACGAGGGGGTGGGTGGCCAACACCAAACGCGGCCGCCTTTGTCTCCCCACTGCCGATATTTACACATCGCACCAGGTACTCATTTGAGGCTGAGTCGACCAGTGGGAGGCCCTGGACCGGTTCAGATAATCGTCACTGATATTGGCCGTGAGCGAGAATCGAACTCGGGTCGCCGGGTTTGTAGCGCAGCGTAGCTCAACACTACGCTACTGCTATGTATGTGTGGGAGCTGAACTCACACATACACACAATCCTAACCGCACTCGCACACACTGAACCCTACACTCTGCACACACACCCACGTGTGCCAGTCGCATCGACTTCCACACAGAGACTACATTAACTACACAAGGTGGTGGTGGTGGTGGAGGTGGGGTGGTTGGTGGTGGGGTGGATGGACGTGGTGGGGATTGGGGGGGGGTCTACGGGGAGGTGGTGGGGCGCGCAGGCGAGAGAGAGAGAGTCTGGAACTGAAAGGAGTTCCTTATGCAGAGGCATGACTCAAGCAATGGGAGTGTCTGTACCAAAGAAATTCTGCGTTTGTGTTCGCTCCGAGTTGTAACACAAACTGACCCCCACCCTTACACCTCCATCACCCCGGCACACCCCCCTCCCCACACAGACCACCAAAACCCAACCAAACACCGCCCTCGCCCACCCCCACTCTCTCTCCCGTCTCGCCTGCGTCACGCGAAATGAAAAGGGCCCTTGTTGGCGAGACACGAGGCAGCAATTATTGCAGCCGCGGCCTCGAGTCCATGAAGGCGCGCACATTCACTGACACCGAGAGGCGTACGCGGACACACACACACGTGCACACACACACGTGCACACACACACGTACACACAGACACACGTGCACACACACACGCGTGCACGCACACACGCGTGCACACGCATATAAATAATCGTCACTGGTGTTGGCCGTGAGCGGGAATCGAACCCGGGTGGCCAGGTTTGTAGCGCAGCGTAGCGCTAACCGCTACACCAACGCACACACATTCAATGGCACACACAACACACACCACCAGACACACAGATATACAAAAGACAAAGGCACCCACACCCACCACCCCCCGCGTAGCCTTAACAGACTGTTGGGGCAAGTGCTGTTAACGAGTAGAGCCTATGAAGGCCGACACGGCACACGAGTAGGTGGGTGTCCAGCACCTTGCCCGACACAGACATACGCACACAAAGACAAAGACCCCCCTGTAGCTTTAACAGACTGTTGGGGCAAGTGCTGTACACGCAGACACAAACACACACAGACCTGCGCACGCACAGATCAACAGACACACAAACAAACACAAAAAACGCAACACAGGTTTAAAGGGCCGGATTAAGATTTCGTAGGCCCCCTGGGCTTACAGGTACTGTGTGAGGCCCCCAGTAATATTTTCAAAAGGAAAACAAAGTTAAAGAAAAATAAAATTTATTTTTACAAGGCTAACAACAAATAAAATTCAGCATTCACAAGTAAAATAACTTTTCACTTCATCTTTGGAGGCCCTCCAGCTGTCCTCCGCTCCTGGTCTGCTGCCCCTAAAAGCTCGTGCCTTAATCCGGCCTTGCACGTATACCTAAACACACACACAAACTCACAATGACATGAACACACACGCACACACGCACATGGCCATAGAAATACACATGAGCACACAAGCACATAAATACACACACACAAACTCACAATGACATGAACACACACGCACACACGCACATGGCCATAGAAATACACATGAGCACACAAGCACATAAACACACACACACACAAACTCACAATGACATGAACACACACGCACACACGCACATGGCCATAGAAATACACATGAGCACACAAGCACATAAATACACACACACAAACTCACAATGACATGAACACACACGCACACACGCACATGGCCATATAAATACACATGAGCACACAAGCACATAAATACACACACAAACTCACAATGACATGAACACACACGCACATGGCCATAGAAATACACATGAGCACACAAGCACATAAACACACACACACAAACTCACAATAACATGAACACACACGCACACACGCACATGGCCATAGAAATACACATGGGCACACAAGCACATAAATACACACACACAAACTCACAATGACATGAACACACACGCACACACGCACATGGCCATAGAAATACACATGAGCACACAAGCACATAAATACACACACAAACTCACAATGACATGAACACACACGCACATGGCCATAGAAATACACATGAGCACACAAGCACATAAACACACACACACAAACTCACAATGACATGAACACACACGCACACACGCACACACGCACATGGCCATAGAAATACACATGGGCACACAAGCACATAAATACACACACACAAACTCACAATGACATGAACACACACGCACACACGCACATGGCCATAGAAATACACATGAGCACACAAGCACATAAACACACACACACAAACTCACAATGACATGAACACACACGCACACACGCACATGGCCATAGAAATACACATGAGCACACAAGCACATAAATACACACACACAAACTCACAATGACATGAACACACACGCACACACGCACATGGCCATAGAAATACACATGAGCACACAAGCACATAAACACACACACACACAAACTCACAATGACATGAACACACACGCACACACGCACATGGCCATAGAAATACACATGAGCACACAAGCACATAAATACACACACACAAACTCACAATGACATGAACACACACGCACACACGCACATGGCCATAGAAATACACATGAGCACACAAGCACATAAACACACACACACAAACTCACAATGACATGAACACACACGCACACACGCACATGGCCATATAAATACACATGAGCACACAAGCACATAAATACACACACACAAACTCACAATGACATGAACACACACGCACACACGCACATGGCCATATAAATACACATGAGCACACAAGCACATAAATACACACATACAAACTCACAATTACATGAACACACACGCACACACGCACATGGCCATAGAAATACACATGAGCACACAAGCACATAAACACACACAGACAAAGATCCCCCGTATAGCTTTTACAGACTGTTGGGGCAAGTGTTGTTAGTGAATAGCTCGTAAGGCCGACACGGCGCACGAGGGTGTGGGTGGCCAGCACTGCGCCCGGTCGCCTTTGTCTCCCCAGTGGCGATGTTTGTACACATCGCACCAGGTGCTCAAATTTGAGGCTAGGGGAGGCCCAAGATCGTGAGCGGGAATCGAACTCGGGTCGCTGGCTTTGTTAGCGCAGGGCGCTAACCGCTACATTACTCGCGCATACACAAACACACGCATACAGAAACACGCGCGCACGCTGATATACACAAACACGCACACGCACATACGCAAACATGTACAAACACACGCACACATTCAAACACACAAACACACACTGATACACTCAAACACACAAACACACACTGATACACTCAAACACACAAACACACACTGATACACTCAAACACACAAACACACACTGATACACTCAAACACACAAACACACACTGATACACTCAAACACACAAACACACACTGATACACTCAAACACACAAACACACACTGATACACTCAAACACACAAACACACACTGATACACTCAAACACACAAACACACACTGATACACTCAAACACACAAACACACACTGATACACTCAAACACACAAACACACACTGATACACTCAAACACACAAACACACACTGATACACTCAAACAAGCGCGCACACACACACGCAAATACGCAAACATGCACAAACACACGCGCACACACACACTCAAACACACAAACACGCACTGATACACTCAAACACACAAACACACACTGATACACACAAACACGTACACACGCACGCACATACGCAAACGCACACACACACTAACACGCACAAACACGCATGCACACTAACGCGAACACACAGACGCACACACGCACACAAACACGCGCACGCTCCGCGCGTCTCCCCCGAACAAATTAATGCCAGATGCGGCTGGGACGCACCAGGCGCCTCTCTCCTCTCTCTCCCTCTTCTCTCTCCTCCCCCTCTCCGTTACCTCTCCCCCCCCCCCTCTCTCCCTCCTCTCCCTCTGTCTATCTTTCTCTCCGTTCTCTCTCTCTCGGCCCGTACGTGTGAGGCTGCCTGTGCCCGCTCTCTGAAGCGTCTGGGAAGGGACTACGCCAGGAAGGAGCTCTCAGCTCAAGTGGGTGGCTGTGGGGAGATGTTCGCGACACTGCTGAGAATTCAGAACCGCCAGCTCCTGGGATTAACGTCATCATCATCATCATCATCTTCCCGGAGTCATCATTATCAATCTCGGATCATCATCACGGTCACCATCACCATCGGGTCGTCATCAATAACACTGAAGCACACACACACACACAACTACACACACAAACAACCACACACAACCACACACAACCACACACACAACCACACACACAACCCCACACACACACTATCGCGCGATTGTGCTAGGCAAGGTGCACTATGAGACCACATTAGTGAAGACTTGCTGGCAAGAGGTCAAGGGACAGACCCAGGTGTTATTTGATTCACTAAATGAGCTGACCAGCAGAGGCAGCACCTATGCTGCCCACTGGTGCCAAGCTGATGCATGTACACAAAGACAAAGATCCCCTGTGTAGCCTAAACAAAACTGTTGGGGCAAGTGCTGTTAGCGAGCACCTACGAAGGCCGGCATAACACACTACGGGGTGGGTGGACAGTGGCGATGTTTACACACCACACCAGGCACTCATTTGAGGCTGAGTCGACCAATGGGAGGCCCAGGACCGGTTCAGATAATCGTCACCGGTGTTGGCCTGTGAGCGGGAATCGAACTCGGGTAACCGGGTTCGTAGCGCAGCGCGCGAATCACTACACCACCCTCCCCCCCCCCCCCAAACACACACGCCCATATATCCACAGACATGCTCACAAACACAAGCACGACACATACACACAGAAACGTTCACGTCAGCAAAACGTACACAAAGCACACATACATGCGCGCACACAACACACACAGGAGACCTTATTCGGGCGAGAACGCATATCGCCTTTTAAAACGTGACCCACCCATGCAGAGTTGGTGCGAGTTGCATTGAAACGACAAGAGATGGAAAATTTGGTCGCCGAGAAACTCTGCGTTTCGCTGTTGCATCACTGCTTCCAATTATGAACAGGAGAGTGAACTCCACTTTCACGAAAGTAAAGAAATATGTAAAAAATACTAAAATATATAAGTATATAATATGACACCCTCTCACGCGACGCATTCATTACACATTTGTACGATTGATGAAGAAAAAAAAATCTCTCAGTAATAATAATAATGTCATTTGTTTATCCTGGAAGGTCTCACGCGAGGATCGAGAGGCTCGACGAGAGCGGAGGGGGTGCCCGGCTACGCTGAGATGTCGAGCGACGCGTGGAAGGAATCCCGGCGAATGCTCCCTGCCACCCGTCACGTGGTCGATGGCTACGCTCCGCGCTCACGGCGGGGTCAGTAACCGGCCCACGTGCATCGCGGAGTACCGGCGGGGTCGAGGGGTTCACGGGTCATTTTGCGTGATCCACTAAATACCGCCCCCCCCCCCCTCCCTCCCCAGCACTTGGTGTACATGAAGCAGCCCCCCTCCGTAAACCTCCTTCCGTTCCTCTCTTAAAGCCTCACCTCTCCCCAATTGTCTATTTCTCTTCCCTCCCCTCGCACCTCCACTCCTTCTCGTCCATCCCCTACACTGTCGTGACCCATCAGAGCCCCTCTATCGTGGTCACTCGTTCCCCAACCCGTGTAGCTGCCAACTAGATCATCCCATCGTGTGACACCGCTTTGTCAGCTATGCCAAGCGCCCTGAGCGAAGGCGCTCTCTCGATATAAATTACAATGAGATTGTACGGGGCGCGCACTCTCACGCCTGCGGATCACTCGGAGGGGCGTGTGAGGGGGAGAGGGGGGGGGGGCACTATCGGAGGCACGGCCAACCACAAATAAAAAACAACAACAATAACACAAACAAACACTTGGAAAAGTGCGCAAAGATTCCGAGAGAGATAGACGCATGCTGGAAGTTCAGTGTGGTCACCCACACTCTGAATCCCTCCCCTCTCCCCGCCCACTGTGAAAACAGACGCTGCTCCGTACAGCAGCGTCGAGGCGCTGTTGAAGCCTCTCCCTCCTCCTCCCTCTCGTCGCCTCTCCTCACCCCTGTGCTCCCGTTTCTCTTTCCATTATTGTCATCTCATGCCCCATGCTCTCTCTCTCTACTCTGTTCCCTCTCGCTCTCTTCTCCATCTCTCCCTTGCCTCTACTCCGCTTCCCGTGGTGGAGTGGCCACAAGTAGAGCAGTTGCGACTGTGTAAGTTACCATCACCTGGGACTTCACTGAGAGGCAACGAGAGAGATCGAGGGGAGACACGTGGGTTAGAGAACGAACGCAGGTTGCTGACGTCGTATTGACCGTTGAGAGAGGTGGGTTCGGGTTGGGCAGGGTATGTATGCACGTTGAACTTCTTTCGCACCGTACGTGGCCAACCGTGCTCATCGGAGGTACGAGAGTAGGTCACGACGATTGGTCGACGGTAGAGACGGGTGACGGAGCCCAAAGTGGAGAGTTACGATCGAGAGGACGTCCACTTGCGGAGATGGAGCGATGGAATCAAAACAAACTCCCCGCAGGGCTGCGAGGAGGTTGGTAGTGCAGCAAGTGGGATCTTGAATTCGCCTGTATGAAACTCTCATGAAGGGTGTTCTCCCCTCGTCTGCGTGGTGAAGTTTCTCCGGCCACCCCCCCCCCCCCCCCCCCCCAGTGCCGGGAAAAAAATATTTATTTTAAAAAAGAGTCATTGTCCAAACATCCCGCTGTAGCATGACCCTCTTGTACCATGAGCCTCGAGACTCAGTGGAGCCTTCCTCCTTGCTTATCTAAGTGGCTCCATCATTATTAATGTCAGTGGTTAATAACGGTGGTCAGACCCCCCGGGGCGCAATTATGGCTTGCGTGAGGAATGAATTTACCCGCCGGCGATGTGATTGGTCGCTTGTGAATCCGCCACTGAACACGTGGGCCGCGAGGCGAGATGGGTGACGGTTCGAGGCCTGCCGAGGCGTTTGCTCGTTAATGGATTCTGGTGGCAAAACTTAGAAGCAGCGTGCCGCTGTGTGTCGGCGTGATGTCTCGTGCACAGCGCGGCATGTGTACGGGGGGGGGGGGGGGGGGGGAAGGGGCGGAATAATCCACATTAGCGTGTAAAGTTAACATTGTACAACCTGAAATGCAGCGGGGCTTCAAAAAAATGTTAACACTTACATTAACAACAATAGCACGAGTAGTGTGCTTTCGGGCACTGGGGACAAACTGGAGAAGATTCCAGGCGTGCGTTTACGATGATAGCGAACAAGTGGTGACTCTTTGACTTTTTTAAGCTATTGACATACATTTGTTATCATGTTACGGGGTATTATCCGTTCTAACATTGTTTTGAAGCGCCCTGTGGTAATCACGAGCGGTGGCACAGATGTCAGCGCGCGCTGCATTAACGATCCCGGCAAAGCTGAGTCAGATTCTGGACCACGACTAACGTCAGTGGCGAGTGAAATCCGAACCGTGCCTTGCACCGCCACCCATTTCACCAAGGCGTGGCGGCCAGTGTGGTGAAGTATGGTCAAACAACCGGCGAATACCGACACGTGCACTAGGCTGCCTTCCCTCCGTTCGTGAATTCTCCAAAGGGCTGTAAATTATAATCGTTAAATCATCATCATCACCACACTCATTGCATTACTGTTACTGCCTAACACGGGCCACGTGGCCCCCTGAAGTCAACTACGGGTGTGAGACCACAGCGGACCCGCGTTGGTCCGATTGGTCTCACGATTTGGAATCCCACCGTAGCCAGGCACTTTTTTTTTAAATCGAAACTTTAGAAGGGCGTGTTTTTGTTGTGTTTAGCTTGTTGTCCTTCCACCCCCGCGCCTCGAAACCCAAGTCACCCGAGTTCGATTCCCGCTCACGGTCAACACCAGTGACGATGATCTTGAACCAGTCCTTGTGTTTAGTTTGTTGTCCTCCCGCACCTCCGATTTGCACGGTTGGCTACGTACGGTGCGACAGAAGTTCGACATACATACAACATACATACAACATACGTGGTCTGACTCGGCAGCTGGGTCAGCTTCTGGATGGATCAGAAACTCAAACCCCTTGACCATACCTCAGGAACCGACTCAACAGTTGATTAAGTTCCTGCATCCAAAGCCTGCTCCGAACCGTTTCTCAACTCCTCTGCTAAAAAAAACATTGCTCAGGTCCTGGCTCAGTTCAATTGCTCAGAACCCGGCTCAGGAAGGGTTCCTGTTAACCCCCTGGCTCAGTTCCTGGCTCATTCCCTAGATTAGATCCTGGCTCAGTTCCTGGCTCAGTTCCTGGCTCAGATCATGGCTCAGATCCTGGCTCATTTCCTAGCTTAGATCCTGGCTCATTTCCTAGCTTAGATCCTGGCTCAGTTCCTGGCTCAGTTCCTAGCTCAGATCCTGACATAGATCCTGGCTCAGATCCTGGCTCAGTTCCTGGCTCAGATCCTGGCTCAAATCCTGGCTCAGTTCCTGGCTCAGTTCCTGGCTCAGTTCCTTGCTCAGATCCTGGCTCAGTTCCTGGCTCAGATCATGGCTCAGATCCTGGCTTAGATCCTGGCTCAGTTCCTGGCTCAGTTCCTGGCTCAGTTCCTGGCTCAGATCCTGGCTCAGATCCTGGCTCAGTTCCTGGCTTAGATCCTGGCTCAGTTCCTGGCTCAGTTCCTGGCTCAGTTCCTGGCTTAGATCCTGGCTCAGTTCCTGGCTCAGTTCCTGGCTCAGTTCCTGGCTCAGATCCTGGCTTAGATCCTGGCTCAGTTCCTGGCTCAGTTCCTGGCTCAGCTCCTGGCTCAGATCCTGGCTCAGTTCCTGGCTCAGTTCCTGGCTCAGTTGGTGACCGAACTACTTGTTTAGAACTCTTCTCACGTCCTGAGGTGGTCAGAGCCTTACTCAGGTGATCCCTTAGATCCATGGCTCAGGATCGGACTCACACGCTGGCTCAGTTTTCTACTTCAGTTCCTATCTCAGATGTTTCACTCGGACCGTGGCTCACTACTTCCGGCTCAGAGTATTGCTCAGGGCCTCACTTTGTATGTGACTCGGGAACTGGGTTCAGTTCCTGGAGATCAGAGGCTGACTCTACCCCCCCCACCCCCCCCACCCCATCTCAGAACATTCCTGAGCACCCAACTAAGATTCTAGCTCAGCTCCCTGCTCAAACCATAGCTCAAGTCCCGACTCAGACCATGGCTCAAGTCCCGACTCAGACCATGGCTCAAGCCCTGGCTCAGACCATGGGTCAAGCCCTGGCTCAGACCATGGCTCAATCCCTGGCTCAGACCATGGCTCAATCCCTGGCTCAGACCATGGCTCAAGCCCTGGCTCAGACCATGGCTCAAGCCCTGGCTCAGACCATGGCTCAATCCCTGGCTCAGACCATGGCTCAATCCCTGGCTCAGACCATGGCTCAATCCCTGGCTCAGACGATGGCTCAATCCCTGGCTCAGACGATGGCTCAATCCCTGGCTCAGACCATGGCTCAATCCCTGGCTCAGACCATGGCTCAAGCCCTGGCTCAGACCATGGGTCAAGCCCTGGCTCAGACCATGGCTCAAGCCCTGGCTCAGACCATGGCTCAATCCCTGGCTCAGACGATGGCTCAATCCCTGGCTCAGACCATGTCTCAATCCCTGGCTCAGACCATGGCTCAATCCCTGGCTCAGACCATGGCTCAATCCCTGGCTCAGACGATGGCTCAAGCCCTGGCTCAGACGATGGCTCAATCCCTGGCTCAGACGATGGCTCAAGCCCTGGCTTATACCCCCGTGCCGCTCTCGGAGGCGCGAGTAGCCGGCGCGGGGCGGCACAATCACGTGATTGTTAGAGGACTCCACTGCCGGCCGCCTTCGCCTGCTGCTGCTGCTGCTGCCGTTGCCGCTGTTGCCGCAAACGCAGCGCGCCCAGCCGTCACGGGGCAATGTTCAACGGGGCGACTTTAATAGGGGGCTCGTGGAGGCCGTGGCGGTGGTGTTTTCTAACAGAGTTGAATATTTAAACCCACTCACTCGCCCACCCCCCATCTCCACCCTTTCACAACCACCACCACCACCACCAAAACTGCCCACCGCACACAGCCCCCCACGGCCTCCTACCTCCCTCCCCCCCACCCCTACCCACCCACACCCCCAACAGCCACAACCTCGACCCACCCACCCTTCTACCCACAAACTAACACACACGTCCCACCTCAACCACACCCTCCTGTGTCCAGTTTTAGACTGTTCTCTCTCTCTCGTTTTACGCAATTTCCCTCGTGTGAGGTCACGGCGCGGCACGCGGTTTCTCCTCGAGTCATTATCAATCTGCGGCTCGGCATTAGCGGTCTCTAACGCGCTCGGACAAGCGTGCGCTGTGTGCCCGTGTACGCAGT